GGTCATTCTGCATCACCGTCACCCTCCCCCGCAATCTGATACCTCGAATTCTCCCTAGGTTCATCTCGTGTTTTCTTGTTGGAAAAACATTTGTATCATTGAAACTATATATGCTGTATCATGACATACTTTTGACATTTCTTCCGTCGCCTCATTCTTTTCTTGTCGTGCTGCTTGTCGGACATTGCATTTGTAACGACTGTACTCTCCAGAGACAGTGTTAACCTATATACCACCTGTCCACATACCTACTCCGTATATCCAGAAAGCGATTCGTTTAAGTCCTTGTCCGCCCTTGTCCACCGTCCGTGACAGTGCCACCGCGTTTGTTCCTGATCAGTCTGAATTGTGAAGCTGTTACATAGCTTGTGGCAAAAATTCCTCTTTTTTCACTCTCTGTGCTTCACCATCATGACCTTCGCGCAAGCTGCTGTCCTCGCACCGGTATCATTCTTCCTAGGTCAGTATTCTATGACAAAATGTACCAATAGCGTTTCAAGCATCATTAGGAATCCTGTTCATCTGTTTCAACGTCGATCACAAGCTTTTATGGGGAGAGTTGAATGAAGATGTGATTGCGGATGGATTCAGTTTCTACGCCACTTTCTTCAACTCTCCTCCTGCTATCAAGGTCGGTCTTCGACGATGCCAGATGCCAGTCTTCACTCATTTCATCAACGGGTAGGCCTTACTGCATGGAATGATTGGTGTAGGAGTGCTCGGATTAGTTGGAAAATTGCACAAATGGGACGATAGTGCAATGTTTTTCGACGGATCCAGTCTTGGTTCGTGGCACATCTATCTTCTGATACTCTCGACTCAATGAGTCTTTTGCAGGCGTCTACGTTTTTGCAATTGCAGTATATACCGCTGTCATCTGCCCGACAATGAAAACTGTGGTTGTTCCGTTAGAGGAAGACACGTATTCGGACAGGATAGAAGCTGTTCGAGTGCTCTCAGCAGCGAATGTCATCATCATCATATGCTTGGGTTTGATTCTGACCCTCCAAGTACGTTGCTTGTTGTTATGACTTTGCGTAGACTGATCTTGTGCATCCCCCAGGCTGGCCAGGTTTACGCTAAACGGTTAGAGATGCAGTCGGCCGCTGAGGAAAGTAAGGCTGTAGAAAAAGAAAAGAAGGACCAATAGATATAGTATATGGTGCCCGTGGAGAGAACGATCTTCCTAAATATTTATTCGTTCTACCTTCTCGATTACAAGTTGCACTTTCATGAATCATGAATCAGGAACAACAATTGCTAGCTATATTTCACTGAGGTTGAGCTATGTACATACGTTGACCAAGTTACACGCAGGTCGTTGAACGCTCAAACGACTCACGAGTCTCCCACGCGAATTCTCTTTTCTTCATGCAATGTCCACAGATCAAGTAGCAGAATCTTCGACTTCTACTGCTAGTACAAGCAAGCCTAGTGTCGTCAAAACTTCTACATCCAAAGGCACCTTGAATACCCTCGTCTCACCAACAACTCATCTCCAGTGGAAGATTAACGAAAAGTGTCTCTGCTATCACGGGCCATTGATTTATGAAGGTAGTTGGAGTGTTCTTCGCGAAGCTTACGGTAATACATGGTCTTGTAGCCAAAATCCTCAAAATACGCAACTTCACGCCAGAAGATACAGAGAACGGCGAGATTGGCCCCAACTTCCTCGTTCACTATAAAGGATGGAAGCAAACGTCAGTTCCTTTTTCCAACATAATACTCAAATCAGTCTAACACAAGTCAATCAGCTGGGATGAATGGGTAACCGAACATCGTATCCTTAAATTTGACGAAGCTGGTATTGCGAAGCAAAAAGCGCTATCACAATCAGCTTTGGTCGCGCAGAATGCCGGTGCCGCGGGGAAAATGAAGGACTCAAGTGGAAAGAGTACGTTTCCTTGCATTCGTCGCCGAACGTCCTGAAGAGAATGAAAAACAGCAATCAGCAATGTTGCAGGTCCTTCCATATCCGCAGGAGGTAGTACACGCTCAGGTATACGCAAGGAAAGCACAAGGGGAACAAAGAGAGCCCGAGAAGATGATGATGGGCATCATGCTCGCCGTGCGGAAATGAAGCTCAACGTACCAGAAATTCTGAAAGTCTTCCTGGTTGACGATTGGGAAGCTGTCACGAAGAATCACCAGCTTGTGACTCTGCCTCGCTCCCCAACCGTACGCCAAATCCTTGGTCAATTTGAAGATTATGTCAAAACAACCACGACGACGTGAGGCGACATATTCTATCTTCTACGGATGCCCTCTTGATGATCAAGTCACAGCCTTCCTTCTCCAGCCCTTCTGACACACACAATCTGTGCTGGACTTCAAATATATTTTGACCGATCATGTGGAATGTCGCTGCTTTACCGTTTTGAGAGACATCAGTATGCGGACGTGCGCAAAAAGTACATTACGGGGCCTCAGGTAAACCTATCGTCGTCGCTTCGACGTTTATACTAAACCTTCGCTGCCTGGGGCTGCAGGTCAAAATTGAAGAGTCGTCGGATATTGAGATGTCATCGATCTATGGGGGAGAACATCTTCTACGAATGCTAGGTATATTGATCCTTATGTTCTTGGTGCCACAACTTGACCTTATATCTTCAGTATCACTCCCCCAAATGATAGCCAATTCGCAAATGGATGGAGAATCGATATCGCTAGTGAAAGAGTACGTCAATGAATTGCTGAGGTATGATGTTTCTTCATTTTCAATGATTGTGTGGTGTATCTAACCATATTTTCAGATATCTAGAGAGCAACAAAGATAGCATCTTCCAACGAGAGTATGATACCCCGTCCGAAAGCTATGGCAACACAGTCCGATCATGACCAAATACGGTGGAACTTGGATGTGTATATGATCTTGACACCTTGAACTAGCATTCTAGTTTTATCCTTGCGTGATGCACCGAGTCCAGAAACTCGTTGTAGTACGACCTTTAACCCAAATATCGCGCTGTGTAAGCTATATATAGTCATTTTGTCTGCAGTACATCTGCGGCTCAAAAGCAGAGTTCTTTCTACTCCTCAGTCGTCTGAACAGTGAAGATCAGTTTGCTCGCTCAGACAAAAGTTTGTCGGCGTTGTTCAAAAACTATTGGCCCCTATATCGACCGCACGGAATAGGCCGATGCTGACATAATGTGTACGCGTTCAAGCTTGCGCGTCACGTCGACGGTCGAATCTCACACTTGAACTTCTACACGATGGATCATTTCCCTACGAACTGGGGGCGCCCTGTACGTGCTTCGCACCACATATTTGGCTCACCTTGCTCATCCTTCATCTTCACTCTCTAATCCAGCGAAACGACGCCTTTGATGCTTATGGAACGTATCCGATTGCCCAAAGACCTTATAACGGACCTGCGACGGACTCATTTTCAGAGGGAGTGCAACACACACAGTCAGTGTACAAGTAGCATCTGATAAAGTTCCCTGAAGTTGACTGTGCATCGGTAGACAGCCGATTGTGACTGGGACTAGCGTTCTCGCTATCAAGTACAAAGATGGAGTTATGATGGCTGCTGACAACCTGGGTAAGAAACGGTTCTATGCTCAGCTCGGTCTAATTGCTCAAGTATGGCTCTTGGTGTATCTTTTCAGCATCGTATGGCTCCCTCGCCCGATTCAAGGATATCCAGCGTTTACATCCTGTTGGAAACAACACTGTCATCGGTGCAGGAGGCGATATGTCCGATTTTCAGTACATCCAAGCTATGCTTGATGAGCTCATGATTGACGAGTTTACCGAACAAGATGGGCATTCGCTTGGTCCTAGTGAGATACACGAATATCTGTCGCATGTAATGTATTCGCGAAGATCGAAGATGAATCCGTTGTGGAACTCGTTGATTGTGGGGGGATTCAAGGATGGAAAGAGGTATGGATTCACATTGTTTCTTATACTACACATATTCCTGATAATATTTCCATGTAGGTTCCTGTCATATGTCGACCTGCTCGGGACTACATACTCTGCATCAACACTTGCGACTGGATATGGATCGTACATAGCGCAGCCTCTTCTTCGTAAAGCTGTAGAGGGAAATGAGGATATTCTTACCGAGGACGAGGCTGTGAGGATTCTTGAGCAAAGCATGAAGGTGCTTTTCTATCGTGACGCACGAAGTTTGAACAAGGTTTGTTTTCAATTTGCTTCCTGGTATTTTCGACTGATTCCTCGTTTAGTATCAAATAGCGAAAATAACTGCAGATGGAGTCGTCGTTTCGGAATCTCGTAGCGCAGAAACACATTGGTCATTTGCGGAGGGTATCAGAGGATATGGAGCTCAAACACAGTAGATATGACAAATGTTACTAGTATACAACTGTTACCAGCACAGAATATTCATGGCCTGAAGTGCATCATTGGGATATCTGAAGCTGAAATCTTGAAATCTCCACCCTCGGGTCAAGCCCAGACTCCTTCCCATCCGCTTTAGCAGCTAAAAAAATCTGAGGAGCATTTACTATATATGGTTTATCATAATCTTATCTTGATGACATAATACCATGTGCATTTTGAATTTTTTTTAAGCTGCTAAAGCGACTGGCATAACTTGCATAAGCGCCTGGTGGCCTTGTTTGGTTCCGGCTTGTAGCGCCCATTAGATTTGACTCAACAAATGGTCCATTGAACGAAATCTTTTGCAAAAGGCATATGAGATGCATGGTGTGTATTTGAGCATTAATTGCAGACACTTTGTGCCCCAAAAAATGTACATTCAGGAAAGACTTTTATGGAATTGAATGGTGGAACCAAACAAGGCCACCAGGCGCTTATGCAAGTTATGCCAGTCGCTTTAGCAGCTTAAAAAAAATTCAAAATGCACGTGGTATTAGGTAATTGAAGATAAGATTGATATGATATACTATATATGGTAGCTCCTCAGATTCAGAATTTTTTTAGCTGCTAAAGCGGATGGGAAGGAGTCTGGTCAAGCCATGTATTCTGCTTGTTTGATTGCTTCCTTTCATTGTAAGTATGTTGGTCCAATAGTGTAGAGGTTATCACATGGGATTCTGATGATTGCTGCTTTCCCATGACCCAGGTTCGAGTCCTGGTTGGACCTTGTAGTGTGTGTCCCTAACTTTTTTGCAAAGTGACCTTTGATTATAATGAAGTGTAATGATAATAGGTACACTGAGCGATTTACTGACTCCTCCTCACAAATGGAATCTGGAACCCACTAACTAGAGCCCTAGCCCTCTCCTGTGCCCCAATTCCAACTGCATTGGTGATGAAGTGTATATGCATACCATACATTTTGGGGTATGCATCTTGATTGACCTCAATCTGAGGCCAAAAAGCCATTGCTTCGGGAGGAAGCCCAAAGCTAATGACACCCGACACGTCGCTTGCTTTAACGGCATTACTCGACGCAGGAAGGTAGGAGGTATGTCCACTGACGGCGACTGGCATAGAGATACCATTGAATTCACGTAGACGGGGAAGGACGAATTCGGTGAGGGTCGCAATGAGGTCGTACATAGGAGGTCCTTTGAGGGTAACTTTTGCCCCAGCGGGCATACCAGCACGAATCCAACCACCGACTTGCTTTTTACCGCGAACGATTTGGACACCAGTGCCTGATTTCAGAGCGCCAGCTCCGCCTTCCGTCTCACCACTGAGAGCACGAAGGGCGGCAATGACACCGAGTAGATTGGACCGCGATGTCAGAGCATCCTTTGCCATAACGTGTATCTGAACAGCCTCCAAACAGGTAATGTTCTCAGGCGTGCTCGGTTCAGGAGGCATCTTGGACCACTGAACACCACCGACCGGCTCATTTTTACGATATCGGGAGTAGGGATTAGACGGGTCCCACCTGAGACGGATTTCTCGTGCAGGCTTTTTGAGCTCGGAAGGGGGGGTGTGGGTGTAGTTCATGTACATGAGATTGTCGGAGAGGGTAGCGTGGTAGTGGTCTAGTAAACGACATGGTGCGAATTCGCGTAGTCGGAGGTTGACAGGGGGACGGGGGAGTTTACGTCTTGTGTCGAAGAGGAGGTCTTTGGTTATTGGAGGTGGTCTACCAAAACGCGTCGGGCGGAGGAGAGGCATCGAAGAAAAGCTGAAGAGCGCCAAGCGGACCGAAAAAAATCATCGTCGTTGTTTGTTTTTCGTGCTGAAGCCAAACAATATGGGCGCCTAACAGCCTTTCTTCTCTCCCTGTGTTAAATTCAAACTCGATTTCCGCCGCCCAAAAAGTACTTATGGCCCCATTCCATCCAGACAAATGGTTAGAACAATTACAAGAATGTCGATATCTACCTGAAGAAGCTATGAAAACGTTATGCGATAGAGTTCGAGCTCTGTTGATGGAAGAATCCACTATCCGTCCGGTATCAAGTCCGGTCACGATCTGCGGGGATATTCATGGCCAGTTCTGGGATCTATTGGAACTGCTGAGGAAGGGAGGGGATGTGCCACAGACGAGCTATATCTTCATGGCGAGTAGGTGTCTTTTGCTTTAAGGGATAAGAATTGACAAGATTAACATAATCGTGAATCCTTCTCTTGTTCGGCTCGTCTTCTCGTTCTTGCAGGGCGACTTTGTGGATAGAGGACATTACTCATTAGAAACAGTCTCGATGCTTCTTGTGCTCAAAGCAAACTGGCCAGACAAAGTGACATTATTACGAGGAAACCACGAAAGTCGGCAGATAACACAGGTCTACGGATTCTACGACGAATGTCAACAGAAATACGGCTCATCCACGGTCTGGAAGGCGTGTTGTAGTGTTTTTGATTATTTGAACCTGGCAGCGATTATTGACGGGACGACACTTTGCGTCCATGGAGGTCTCAGTCCGGATATTAGAACACTAGATCAGATTAGAGTGTTGAGTCGTGCGCAGGAGATTCCGCATGAAGGACCGTTTTGTGATTTGATGTGGAGTGATCCAGAGGATTTGGTGGAGAATTGGGCGGTCAGTCCGAGAGGGGCAGGGTGGTTATTTGGTGGGGTGGTGACAAGAGAGGTGCGTTTTCTTGGAATTTACTCGACGTTGACTAGTATCTCATGAATGGTCACCTTTTGTTTAGTTCAATCACGTCAACGGTCTTTCCCTCATCGCACGAGCACATCAGCTCGTACAGGAAGGTTACAAGTATTTGTTCGATGAACAATTAGTGACCGTTTGGAGTGCACCGAATTATTGCTATAGATGTGGGAACATGGCGTCGATTATGACGGTGCATGAGTCTGGGGAACGGACGTTCGAGGTGTATGGACCGGCGGAAGAGAATGAGAGAGATAAAGGGATGCAGACGAGAAAGATGGTGAGTTTCGGTGTCTTTTCGAATTGATCAGGATGTGTTTACTGACAGGATGGCTTTGATTACTAGAATATGCCATATTTCGTATGATCACTGGATGCTTTTTATTCAGGACTGTACACTACGTACATAATTCACTTCACCTTACCCCGTGCTGGGCCCACGAATTTTTCGCATCCTCAATCATTTAAACAATTGCGAACATTTCCCCACCCTCCCTCAGAATAAGTATGTTGAAATTGCATCAACTCCAAAGAACTTGAAAGAAGCAAGGAACACTCGTCAGTACATACTGCAACCGGAAATGCACGCATGGATCAGAAGAAAAGAATCAAAACGACACCATGTGAACGAACACATAACCTTCTTATAAACACCCTCCAAGTTCAATGAAGTACCTAACTCTGTCATCCATGTGTATATTGGTACCAAGTGCGATCCCCCAGCCAACTCGCACTGGGCGTCTCTCCGTCTTATTACTCTTGACCCTCTCCTTCCTCAGTCTCATTTCCCCTACCTCGTGTTCAATTCTTAGTTCGCCAGCTGACCTTGTCGGTAAGACTTATGACTTTGTCGTCATTGGAGGTAAGCCTAGATGGGCAGTCCATATATCTCCTTTATTGACGTTCACCTCTGTTTTTTTTTTTTCGCCACGCAGCGGGCCCAGGCGGAAGCACTATCTCGAACAGACTAACCGAGATACCCAGTCTCTCTGTTCTCTTGATCGAAGCAGGCGGCGCGTGAGTCTTGGATCCAAACACGAGCTTGACAACTTCAAGTTCCACCTCTCTCACAGGAACAACGACAGTCTGACCATCGACGTTCCGCTGCTTTGTACCAAACTCACTCCAAACACCCAATGGGACTGGAATTACACCACCACGCCCCAGGAGAACCTGAACAACCGGGTCTTGCCATTTCCGAGAGGGATAGGTTTGGGTGGGACGAGTGCCGTTAGTGAGTGAGCTGCCTACTTTGACTCTTTTCTCTGAGTTGCGGGATTTTGCATCGATATCGATGATCAGTTAATGCCATCATTATGCTTGATCGAAGGTTGTGATTGACTGATATTTACTTTGCTATCATAGATTGCCTCGTCTACACCCGCGGATCCAAACAGAATATCGATGAATGGGCTGAACTCACGAATGATTCGAGTTGGGGTTGGGATGCGATGCTTCCATACTTCAAAAAGGTGTGCATCATCCAAATTGCTTCTTTTGTTGTTTACTCCAAGTCTTTTCGGTCCCGATTTCGAACTCCCATCTCACTCTTTTTCCTCCCCCCTCACTTCCCCCTCCTCCTCCTCACTTCTCCTCCTCCCCCCCCTGCTTGCTATCTCCAGAGCGAAAAATTCAACTTGCCCGTCGACGGACACAACGTGACGAACGAGTTTGACCCATCTTTCCATGGGTTTGAGGGTTACATTGGTGTGAGCGTCCCAGGGGCGAGTCGGGCGATTGATGGACGGGTGATAGAAACGACGGAAGAACGTCCGGATGAGTTTCCGTACACGAGGGATATGAACACGGGTGATCAGCTGGGTGTTGGTATGTGTTATACACATTCGTGGTTTTCATACATATTGCCCACATAATTGCGAGATCATACGGATGAGTTCTGGCTTTTATGTCTTTTTCTCTGTTATAGTAGCGCTCGTGGTTTCCCACTCTATCTTATCTTCCTACCCAATCGTTTTCTTCGACTTGGACACCTCCCATCGCTCGCTCTCATGGGGGGGTTATTTGACTGACAAAAGTTTTCACCTATGCCAGGCTGGGTTCAAGCACTCATTGATCGAGGTGTCCGATCTAGTTCTGCATCGTACCTGAACGAGGATGTACTCGGACGAGGGAACCTTGATATCTTGCTCAACACAAAGGTTTTTAGGATCCTTCCCTCTCCTGGAGATAATGAGACGTATGATGTGGTTGAGTATCTGGATTCGAGTGATGGTATGTGGGATTTATATGGAACTCCTAGAGCAAGTTCATTTTGTTTCATAAACTAATATGTATGTTTTTTTTTCAAGGCACGCTCAAAACCATCACGGCCGTGAAAGAAGTCATCCTATCCGCCGGCGCGGTCAACACGCCCTCTATCCTCCTCCACTCTGGAATCGGCAACAGCACCTTGCTCTCCAACCTCGGTATCCCAAAACCTCATCACAACCTTCCCTCCGTAGGTCAAAACCTGACAGACCACATCGGGGTATCGTCCACGTTCGTGGTGAACTCGACGGAGACGTACGATTCAGTGTTGAGGAATGATACGTTGGCGGAGGGCTTGTTGGAAGAGTGGGAGAAGGCAAAGGTGGGGATTAACGTGGACACGTCGGAGAACCATCTGGCGTTTTTGAGAGTGAGGGAGGGAAGTGGGGTGTTGGAGATGTTTGGAGATCCGGCGGCGGGGAATGAGACGGCTCATTTTGAGTTTTTGTTTCAGGTGAGTGGGAGAGTGAGGAGAACGAGTACGTCTGATTTTCTCTGATATATTTGGTTCGTGTGTGTTGGTGTTATAGAACGGTCTGAGCTCACCTACACCGTCGGGGAATTATCTGAATATTCCGGCTGGGAATGTGTCGCCTAAATCTAGTCAGTGTTTTCGCCCTCTCCCCCCACCTCTTTCTCATTGAGATCATTATTCTGCCAGCGGGCTCCGTAACGATCAACTCCACCGACCCGTTCTCCTTCCCACTCATCGACCCAAACCTGCTCTCTGCGCCGGTGGACATCCACATCCTCCGGCACGCCGTGCGGACTGCGCATCAGTTTGTTCAGGCCTCGGCGT